ATAAGTTAATAAAGATGGTGAATTTTAAGCTCGGTAATGAAATGAGAAGGTGAATTAATCAACATGACACGAGCGTGGGACAAAGAAAAATTCTGAGAATTTTTCTTTGTCCCACGCTCGTGTCATGTTGATTAATTCACCTTAACATCCATTAAGATAATCAAAGTAAGCTATTTTAGCCCCTGACAAGCAAATGAAATGTCTCCTATATCACATAAGACTGCAAAGAAATTCACTTTATTGAAATTTTTGGGGAGCAGACAAACTTATCTTATAATTAGAAATACTCAAGTAGAATTACTCCTAGTCGCTTCATGCTATTGAAACCAGAGAAAAGCACTGGCCTGATGGGCTACTTAGTCATATGCAGATTTTACCTAATACACAAGAACTGCAAGGAGAGCATATGATTTGACTTAGCTGCATTTTGCAGCTTCAATGAACAAGATGACACAAGTTTACCTTCATCAGTATAAGAATTACAGGAGCCAATAATGTCACAGGATAGAGGGAGAGGTAAGTGCCAACAGCTACCCCAAGGGTGCTGAGAAGAATACTCCCTGAAGAGAAGAATAGTATATCTTATTAACTATACATTTCATTTGGTAAAACGACATCAACAATAAGAAATAAGCCAAGGAGATTATCGCCTGGTTTTACAGTGGTTTCAATAAAAGCTGGTAACTGCCAAATTGCTCTGTCTATGTCAAGCAATTTTACTAAAATTTGATGCCTACCAGAACTTTTCTGAAATAAACGAATTTCAGTTATCGTACATGTAACAATTCTACTTCTATCAGCTGCCTACTTCGCAGCTTCTTCCTGTTTTAACTGGCTTGTATGCTAACTAAATTCTAAATCCCAGCATGACTAAAAGAACCTATTCCTATAGAAAACAAAATATATTCCTGAAAGAGGTGCAGTATTCAGTGTTCAGTAAACTGCTGGACTGTATTGACCATCAGGAGAAATATTAAGCTACAGTCAAACCTCCCGTAAGCAACCACCCAAAATGTCTAGCCTAGGTAGTTGCCTATGAAAGGTGGTTGCTTACGAGAGCTTAGACCGTATTGGGTCAAAATTTTCCCTAATTAGCATATGTTAACTGCGGAGATTTACCTCATGTTTTAAATGTTTTGTTCATGTGAAAAGTCAATTTCGAGAAAAAAATCTGGTGCTAAGTCTTCCCACTGAGAAATTTCCATCTCTTGTACTACCGAGGATTGCAATAATGTTACAACACCTTATTATCTAATTTATGCTCAATTATCTGTCAAGGGGTAAAACAGAAGAAAAATTCAGAGGTTTGGCTTTAAAAGAGGGTGCAGTTGCTTACGAGAGGTGTTCATTTACAAGAGGTTCCAAATATAGTGATTTGATTGGAAACTTTTGGTATTTTGGAAAACTGGTCGCTGAGGAGAGGTGGTCACCCTCCAGAGGTGGTTGTAACTGGAGGTTCGTCTGTATTTCTCAACTTGAAGTCAACAAGGTACATTAACCACCATAGTGAGTTAGTGAAGCTGACATTCAACTGTTACACTTTGCTCTGACAAAGGACTAATACTCAAAGTGTCAGCTTCACTAACTTGCTAGCTTCAGTAACTAAACTGACTCCTTAGAAAAAGATGGCAAAATCAGCTTCCTACTCCAACGAGAAAGTCCCCACTGCACCTACTTCAAAAGATTGCATCAAATCTGGATTATTTCCTGCAAGAGGGTAGTTGATAAGTATGTGATGCCATTTTCTTTATGAAAATTAAAAAAAACTCTTGCTCCACAAACAGTACCTTTTAGCGAAAAAAGAAGTGCAGTTGTTATTGCTAAGTTGGTGAACATCACAGTAGAATGAGCCACACAGGAACCAATGGTGTAGGGGTTTAACAAATAACTACAAAAAAAAAAGAGTTCGATGTTGAGATCAAAAGTTGTTCTCTGTTTTCTGGAATTCTTTCCAAGATTAAAAATGATTTATAAAACAGATGTTTCACCAAACTTTGCTTGCCTTGTTCAAAATTGCTGAAACTGTTGAGGTAAGTGAAGTTTAACTCTGCATAAAGCACTTTATTTTAGCATACCATAAACACCAGCAGCAGATAAGCTGCACTCACAGATAAGCCACATCCTAAGCTTGGTCACCATAAGTTTGAGGACAAATAAGACATGTTTTTGCACCAATAGATGCATAACAATTTAAATATCTATTCAAAACACCCTGCAAGATTGTACACGTCCATAACTCTATCACTCAATACAAACATGGAAAATGTTTTCTATTTCATTAGCAGAAAGAAAAAAGAAAACTTACATGGATGAAACTAGCAAAGGAATGCCATCCAAAGAGTCCGGTTTAAGCAAGATTGGCTCTAAAGACTTATTTGATTTTGAATTCAGCGTCTGCTCTTTCAACTGAAAACAGGAAACAGTACCAAGTCAATCGAATGACTCATAGTTGAACTAATGTTTGCCTTGCTTGTGTGCTAAGTAAATTATTACATGTACCAGCATTTGAGAGTGAAGACTGGCAAGCTTGTAGAGAAGCCATCCGATCAACATATCTCCTGCCTGGCAACAAAAGAAAATATAATAAAAAATTAACTCACGTATAGAGTAGAAAAACAATGGAGAAAAAAAAAATCTCTCTGTTTTGGTTTTGTATTGATAAAACTGTTCAATCCTTGTGTTCCAAAAATAAATCTCTCACTCACAAATCAATGTAAAACGAGGCTACAGACATCATGTCCCTGGTCTGAAATTATTTCAAACCTTATCATGTCACAATTTCTAAAGTTCCTCCTGTTGCTCAAGGAATTTCAACTCAAGTCATGTTGTTCGTCGTGATTTTTCAGCCTCTGTGTCAATGTTTCAATGCCATGTCGCCTATCAAATTTTTACCCTAACAAGGTCTCATAAAATCATTGGAACCTGTCCCCTGTGTATTCAAAGTGTTTAAACACAGTGAAAATTTTAACATACCACAAACAAAACTGGAAACAACTTCTCTGACACCTGCTGTAATCCAAGGAATACTGATAGCACCATGGGAGTCTTAATAAAAGAAAGATTTGTTTTTATTATTTTATACATCATTCATTTTCGACAGCACTGTGTAACAAAGCTTGACTTCCAGCTTTTTGCATACATTCTACTTTTCATCTTGCTCTGAGCGAAGAATGTAGACACCCAAAAGGCTGGAAATAATACTAGATACAGTATGTTTTTTGGAAAAGTATGAATGCATATTAAATAAAGAAATTTAGTATATTAGTCTTGGTAGTTCCAAGAGGTTAGGGACTGGTCCCATAATAGCGGCTGCCAGACACTTTTTGGTGGTGTTAAACCTAACTATAATAAAATATTGCTACCTTTGGACAGTTGCAACTACAATTGAACAACTATATTGCATTCAATGCATCAGAAACAAGAAAAAATGTATGAATGTACTTGTTCAATCCATGCTTTGGATAATAAAAGCAATCAATAGGATGCTGGTAATGAACTTCACAACCAGCTTACTAGAGGGTAGTCCCTGTATTTCATTTTCTGTGTGCCAGTACCCTTAGTATCACAACATTTTCAAATCTCACTTCATGTACTATATCTCCAGAGTATGGTGAAACTCCATGCTTAACTAGAGAGAGGCCTTCCTGCACTGAAAAAGATAAAAAAAAG